GCTAATTTTTGTATTTTTAGTAGAGACAGGGTTTCGCCATGTTATCTGGGCTGGTCTCGAACTCCTGACCCCAAATGTTTATCCTGCCTTGGTCTCTCAAAGTGCTGGGATTACAGGCGTGAGCCACCACACCTAGCTTTTTTTTTTTTTTTTTTTGAGACAGAGTCTCACCCTGTTGCCCAGGCTGGGTACAGTGGCATGATCTCAGCTCACTGCAACCTCCCACCTCGTGGAGTGGGTTCTGGCGATTCTCCTGCCTCAGCCTCCCAAGTAGCTGGGATTACAGGCATGCACTACTATGCTCGGCTAATTTTTTTTGTATCTTTAGTACAGACAGGGTTTCACCATGTTGGCCAGGCTGGTCTCGAACTCCTGACCTCGTGATCCGTCCATCTCAGCCTCCCAAAGTGCGGGATTACAGGCATGAGCCACCACGCCTAGCCCATCTTTTCTTTAAAATAAAGTCCTTGCTTTACTCCCACCCAGCCCTGCTGGTGTTAAGAAATTAGCCACAGGCTACTGAGAGGCCCAGGATGGGAAGGGGCACCTCGTGCACTCATCCTGAGTTTTTCACTAGATACTCCTCGCCCCATGTTCTCTTGCAAGCTGTCCTCAAGGACATGTAGGTTCTTGTTTGCAGGTTTGCAGGGGTGCCTGAATCCAGCCACGAACACACTTGAATTTCTTGTGACCTGCCAAGGGTGGGGGGGTGCGGCCAGCTCAGAAGCATTCCAGGTGGGGTCTCTCGGGGCTTACAAGCTGCTTCCTAGCTCCTTCCAGGCAGACCTCTTCCTCCCTACCCCTCTCACTTCAGCCCACAACCACAGGAGGTTGGGCACTTGGAGATACTGGTCAGGAGAGTGCAAAGGTTAAAGGTGAGAGCTGGAAGGTCAGATGGATACAGTAGGTGCTGCTATCAACTGGCAACTTCAGCTTGCAGCCTCTGCCCAGACACATTTCCCTCCATCTGCAGCAGCCTGGAGGTAAGTCCCAGAGCCCATGACAACCGGAATGCGTCTTCTCCATTCTGGACTGGAAGCCACCTCTGGGCCCAGCACAGGATTGCAGGGGAGGGACACAAGGGTCTTTTTTTTTTTTTGAGACAGGATCTCGCTGTGTTGCCCAGGCTGGAGTGCAGTGGCGCAATCATGGCTCACTGCAGCCTCAACCTCCTGGCTCAAGTGCTCTTCTTACCTCAGCCTCCCGAGTAACTAGGACTACAGGTGCCCACCACCATGTCCACTTAAATCATCTTACTCTTTGTAGCGACAGGGTCTCACCATGCTGCCCAGGCTGGTCTCAAACTCCTGGGCTCAAGCAATCCTCCTGCCTCAGCCTCCCTGAGTGCTGGGATTACAGGTGTAAGCCTGGTCCACAAGGGGTACTTAGAAATGGTTTTTACGTGTCTAGTAGATGGACACCCAGGTCCAGAGGTCTCCAGGACCATGAACCGGGACATTCTCCAGGAAGGGAATGTCAACTGGGTTTTCAAATGGTTTCAAAAGTCCACTTTGAGATGTAAAAGATGCCATCCATCTACAATGAAGGACCTGAGCTCTGAGTGGGGACACACCGCCAGGGAACTTTTTTGAGATGGAGTCTCGCTCTGTTGCCCAGGCTGGAGTGCAGTGGTGTGATCTCAGCTCACTGCAACCTCTGCCTCCCAGGTTCAAGCTATTCTCCTGCCTCAGCCTCCTAAGTAGCTGGGATTACAGGCACCCACCACCATGCCCGGCTAATTTTTGTATTTTTATAGAGATGGGGTTTCACCATGTTGGCCAGGCTGGTCTCGAACTCCTGGCCTCGAGGATCACCACCTCGGCCTCCCAAAGTGCTAGGACTACAGGTGTGAGCCACCCGCCTGGCCAAGCGAACTATTTTTTTAAGCAAGGTCTGTGGGGGTCTTTTCAGTGATTTTGTATGGGATGGTCAGTTCTGCAGCCCTGGGTAGCCTCTTAGGCCCATGTGTTCACAGTCTGTGCATGCTGTCCCCCTCTCCTGGGAGACCGCGAGCGACTCCATGTGTGGTTCACGCTTGTTCCCAGAAAGCTCCCCCAGTGCTTGGCTTCCAGAACTCAAAGTCTATCTGGGGTTGAGATGTGTCTCCCCACCAAGCCCAGGCCTCGCCAAAGAAGACCAGGACTCCATCCTGCTCACTAGAGTACCCGGGGCTCAAGCCCACAGCTGGGCTACTGACTTTTCTCACTGTGGGAACTTCAGCCGAACCTCTCAGCTCTCTGTGCCTCATCTTCCTCTGTCTGGGAAGTGCAGTCTCATCTAGTTGCACCTCATGGGGTGGAGGTGAGGATGACCTGGGCAGTGAAGAGGCTGGCACGTCGCAGAGCACAGACCTGTCCACAGGTAGAGGCCTCGCTGTCCAAACACTCCCCATGCAATGCTGAGCACAAGGAAGGTTCTGGTATTGCCTGGGTTCAGGCAGATAGTTTCCCAAAACATTTCTTTTTCTTTTCTTTCTTTCTTTCTTTCTTTTTTTTTTTTTTTTTTTTTTGAGATGGAGTTTCCCTCTTGTTGCCCAGGCTGGAGTGCAATGGTGCAATCTTGGCTCACCACAAACTGTGCCTCCCAGGTTCAAGTCATTCTCCTGCCTCAGCCTCCCGAGCAGCTGGGATTGAGGCATAGCCACTGCGCCCAGCTAATTTTGTATTTTTAGTAGAGACAAGGTTTCTCCATGTTGGTCAGGCTGGTCTCAAAGCCTCAACCTCCAGGTGATCCACCTGCCTCGGCCTCCCAAAGTGCTGGGATTACAGTGAACCACCGTGCCTAGCAACAACCTTTCTTAAAGTTTAGGGATAAAGATGGTGTGTTATTGGTGGGAGATGTGAGGGATTTGTTTTTGTTTTTGTTTTTAAGGGGAAGCTTCACGTTTCTCTTCTTTTCCGATTCCCCAGCAGACTAACACCAACCAGGCTCCTGCTGCCGGGCCAAGCGCTGTACTGAGCCACAATAGTAAGGAACAGGAATTCAGGATATTTGGAAACCAACTTCCAAAGGGTCAGGTTAAGGAGAGAGAGATGACCTCCTGGGATACCCTCCTGCCTGAGCCTGGAACCCTAGAAGCCAGACCCAGCTGCGGACACGTGCCACGCCAGCCCCCACACGGTGCCCTCTGAATCCAGGCATGCTCTTGGTCTTTTGAGGAGAGGAGTTGATTGTGTGGGGCGTTGCACCTACAATCCATCCAGCCTGTACATGGTCGGTCATTCGCTTAGGACAAACAAAACCCAGCAAACTCTCAAATCCATTGCAGAGGCCTCTCTGGCAGTGGTGGCGGCAGTATTGGTCTTTTGGCCAGACATCAAGCAAGACACTTGCCATGCAGGAGGTCAACGTGTCCCCATTTCTGAGTGGGAATTCAAGGTTCAGAGAGGTCCAAATGGGACTCCCAAGGCCACTCAGTGGCAGGGCCAACTCCAACCCTGAGAGTCTCTGATGATAGCCCAGTCTCACCCAGGACTTCTGCGCTTAAACCTCCTGAACCAGGATCCCAGGAGATAAACAACAGGTATCAAATGCACATATGAATACCCAGGCCAGTCATCACATGGGAAGGTTATATGTACTGAAAACTTCTCGGAGTGGGAATCAAAGTGACAAACATGGAAAATTTAGCAGATGGTCACGCAAAACCGAGTGACTCTAGAAGAATACAACTTCCCTGAGACTGAGCTAACTCTGGCCAACTTTTTTACTGATTCCTAGATAAGGAAGGAAAAGGTTGGGGGCGAACCCAGCAGTTCAGAGGCCTCACTGGTTTAGTATAAGGCCTGAGCGGGCAGAGACGGGGAAAGACTCAGGCTCTGAGGCTCTCTCTTGGGCAGGGTGTCTCTTAAGCGGCTGTGTGGGAGGTGGGAGCAGAAATGGACTCTTGAGACAGACAAATCTGATGTTTCTTCCAAGCAAGCCATGTGACCTCTCTGACCCTCAGTCTCTTCATCTGAAATGTGTCCAGCAAAGCTTTATTGACTGGCTCCTCCATGCGGGGCTGATGCACAGGTGCCAGGGACTCCAGCCATGAATGGGAGAGACCAGGTGGAGCCCTCACAAGCTCCTCTAACAGGGAGACAGCGAATTTGGGAGATGAGCAGATTCTGACATCAGTTGTAAGAGGAAATAACACAGGGATTAAATAATCCCTTTCTCGGAGTGGGGTTCAGGGTGGGCATCAGTCAAGGCTGGGTCTAGCATGGACCCCGGGAGTGAGCGCTCATGGACCCCGGGGTGGCGCTCGGTAGTGACTTCTCTTGCAGCTGCAGAAGTTCTATTAACATAACCTGTGTAAAACCGGGCTGCCTTGGAGGCCAGTCTCATCACAGTGTCACGCTCAGAAAAACACCAGTCTGACATCCCCAAATCACTGAAAAGCAGTTTTAAATCTTCCCGAAATCTTTCAAAGAGAGACACCAAGGGAATTCCTCTCGTACCACACACAAAGACATTTTCCAGCCTCTCTGCCGGGAGGTCTCATGGTAGCTGCCTCTGGAATCTCCTTCCCACTCCCTCCTTTTTTATCCTTATCAGAGAGGGTGGGAGGCGCTGGGCCTGGTCCCAGGAGACAGGGGACTGGGCTGGATCCAGCCTCTGTCCTCCCCTAGCTGTAGGGTCCTGGGTGCTGCTTAGCTACTCTGTGCCTCGGACCTCATCTGCAAATCATAGATAACAATCGCACTGCCTGCAGGGGGCTCTTGTGGGAATTCTAGGAAATAATCCCCAGGAAATACATGAGAGAGGCAGGCACACAGCTAGACGATTGACATGCCCAACAGGCTACTAACCATGATTTCTCTCTGCCCCCTCACCCCACCTCTCTGCACCACCCAGTCAGGAGCTCTGGGCAGGCGCCTCTCCTATGAGTCAGTGTGGGTTTCTGGGAGTCACACCACTCAGCGGCAGCTCAACCCACTGTCCCAGACAGCACACAGGCAAAGGCCAGGGGGCTGGACAGGCAGGGCTGGGAACTATCTTGGGAGGGGACAGCAGGGTCACAGGACCATGCTTGCTCCCTGCCCCCTCTAGTTGCATCCTTTCTTAGGTGGCATACGTAAAGGGCATTGTCCCTGGAAGCATCAGTGCTCTGAGGCAGGAACCAAGCGGAGAATGCCCTCTTGGGGCCTGCCGATGTGCTGGAGAAGCGTGGCTCCCCCACCCATGAAGCTGCTGCTTGCTCCAAGCCTGGGTGCCCTGGCCAAGGTGGTCACAGAGCAGAGGATTCAGATGTCTCACTTCCTGAGGGGCTCCAGGCCGGGCCCTGGCAACACAGCTGTGAACAGCCATGTGGTTCCTGCCTCCTTAGACTCACCCAGCCCTGTCTGCAAAGCAGGCAATCAGGAGCCTGAGCATGGGTGCGAGAGCAGAGTGGGCAGAGAGGATCGCTGGGCAACAGAGAAGACTTCCCAGAGAAAGAGGCACTGAAGGGAAGAGAGTTTTGCGTGGGAAGAAAAGGGTTCCAGGCAGAGGCCACAGCCTGGGCAAGGCCTGGAAGAGTGGTGAGTTCAAGGGGCTGCAGGTGTCCTCACCCCACTCCCGACAGGTGCAGTTTATTGCTCAAGACCACATACACCATCTCCGTGGTCCCCACTGCCACCCTGGAGAGGTCAGAGGGCAGAACTCTTATTCCCAGTTCACACTGGGACAATTCCCAACTGGACTAGAACCCCGATTTCCTGACTCCTGGCTCAGGTGAAAGAGCCAACAGCAGCCCTGGCATTTGACCAGCAGTAGGTGGACCCAATTTTTCATCACTTCCCTTTAAGAGATGAAAATTGAGGCTTTCTTAGGAGAACACGACACCCTCAACTGCCACAGTTTTGTCTCTCTGGGGCCTAGGACAAGCCTGAGGTGCGAAAGCCCTCCTGGGTGGGGCAAGAAACAGAGCTAGGAACAGGGGTGACTTGGAGGTGAAGGGAGGAGCGGGGATGGATTTTGGAAATCCACACTGGGCGGGGAAAGGCGAAGGAATGTGGGTGGGAGACGGGGTGCGGTCTGGCGGAGGGCCCAGGGCCTCAGGCAGCCCCTCCCTCCTGCCTCCCAGGTAGACCCTAGCTACGCGGAAGAAAACACCTCAGGTGGGGCGGGGAGGAGGGCCACACCGCCTCCTGGCCACCCAATCAAGACATTCCCAGTCTGATGGCGGAGGCCGCAGGGCCGGGAGGCTCGCGGGGCCTTCCCGCGGGAGCCCCGAGACCTGCCTGGACTCGGGAGGCCCACCGCCCACCGCCCCGCCCCAGCCTCATTAGCACCGACACCCGTCAGTCCTCCCCTCGGTTTCCAGTGGCTCCAGAATTTAAAGGTTAAATCCTAACCTCGTCTCAGCAGTTTCTCCGGCACACTGCAAGCATCCAGTTGCTGGTAATTATATGCATCTCCGAGCAGCCAATCAGCTGTCGGGCGGCAGATACTGATCTTTTCGTTTTATTTTTAGCTCTGTACTTCCCCTCTAGTTGCAAAAAAATTCATTTGTTTGTGTGCTGCTGCCTCGCTTCCAGCCCTGCAGCCGGCTCTCATCTCCGCCAGCCAGGCGGGAGGTGAGCAGCCGCGGGGCTGGAGTCTGCGACCTCCCCGCGGCGGGGCAGAGCGTGCCCGCCGCCCCCGAGCTGCGGACCGCCCTGCAGAGCAGCCCCAGGGAAGGGGGAGGCTGGGGCGCTGCCGAGGGCTGTGGATGCAGACACCGGAGGGCTGTGCTCGGTCTTGGGGAGCCCACGCATGGGAGGGAAGCAAGCCCGTACCTGCGGGCTGGGGAGGGCTTAGAGAGAAGACACACAGAGACAGCGAGACAGAGACGTGCACGGAGGCAGGGAACAAGCTAGACTGAGGCGGAGGGGAAAAAGACAAGCACGTTCCCCCTGGAAGCATTCGTCCCCATCCCCGGAACAGAAGAGGACAGGAACTGGCCTCAGCCCCGCCCTGGAGTGGGGCTCAGAGGTTCAGCCCCGGCCCAGAACCAGGCCAAGAACCCTGGGCCACCCTCCCAGGCCTAGTGCTCATCTGCCACTGAAGGCCGGAGTGAAGTGCTCTTCAGGATCATTTGCGGGATTGTTCTGGAAGGTTCTGTAGGCCTTCCTGAGCCTCAGCAGGTGTGAGGAGCCACCAGCAGGAGGAGGCCCCTAGTCATACAGTTTCTCTGGAGGAGAGGCAGCGACTGAGGGCCAGAAGCTGTTGGGTCCCCGTTAGTCTACTTGAACGGTGGAGGGTCTGATCCAGGGGGCCAGCGCTGAAGAGCGGTGAGGAATGGTGTAAGTTTCCTTCCATCCTCACAGCTCTCTAGTTTGCAAAGTGTTCGCTTTGCCCCAGTGGCCTCTGCTTCTGCCTCATGGTTACCTCCAGAATGGAGTGAAATAGGGGTCTGGGAGGCCCAGTGAGCCTCACCTGTTTTCTGATGGGCCTGGGGCTGGGCGTGGGGAGTGTCACCTAATGGTTCAACTTTGAGGCACAACTCACCTGGTTCAAGCCCCAGAGCTGCGTTTTACAGATCTGTGACCCTGAGTGAATGACTTGAGCCCTCTTGGCCCCACGGTCCCCACCGGGAAGGTGAGCCCCACCCCACCCCGCACCCCACAGGGTGGCTCGGGGCAGAAGTCACTCTGTCCGGGTGCTGCTCGGCCCGGCATCACAGGCCCGGCACATGACAGGTATTGGTAGCTTCTCCGTTTTGCGGATGGGGAAACTGAGGTTCATGTGACTTGTAATTGGCAGAACTGGGACTAGAAACACCCCCCTACTTTTGGCTTCCTTTTCTCTGACACCACAGATGGCGTGAGAAAAAAAGAGAAAGAGCGGGAGAAGAGATTAGGAGCCGGAGAGAGATGGAGGAGGCAGAGCGCCGTGATCAATTACTTGGGCTATAAATTTCTGCTGTTTTTGCAAAGTGAGCACACAACCTCGAGAGGCAGAGCTCCTGGGCAGGCTCTGGAGAAGCCAAACCAGAGCCAAGCCCCACAGCAGGTGCTTTTGATGGTGGGAACCAGGGAAGGGAGATGGGTCGAGCTCAAGATTGGATGGGACAGCTGGGGTACAGCAGGGGACCGGGGAGGGGCCAGAGGGAGAGGAAGAGAAGCAAGTGTCAGTGAACTTGGGAGCTGTGGGAGCCCCCCTGGGGAGGAGGCGGCCTCGTGCCGCCTCCTCCCGGCATTGTCTCCCACTGCTGGGGGGGTGGGAGAACCAGGCCTGGGCCAAGATTGGCCCCCTGCCACTGCATTCGAGAAGCTGGTACAGGCGAGCGGCGGGATGCAGGGAGCCTTTTGAACCTCACCTTCCTCATCTGTAAAATGGGGATACTGGCTTTGACATCCATCCCCAGGGATTGGTATCTAGGGTGTAAGTGGCTTAGCGTGGGGCCTGGCACACAGCAAGGAGCATTGTTGTTGTAAATTTTTTGGAAGATTACCAAGGGCAGATGGGTTTGGTAACTGGTGGTTTTTGGAGACCAATTTAATTATTTAAAGGTGGACAGTGGTCCTCCTGGGAGAAGGCTGATGGAGTTTCCCACAGTGGGGATAGGTTGGGCAGGGCATTAGACCTGTCTCTTGGTCTCCCAGCCGTGGAGGGCTGGGGACAGGGACAGAATGCTGTGTCGCTGGGGAAAGAGGCCAGGCCCAGCTGCCCAGCCTGTGACTCCTGGGCTCCACCTTCCTGGAGACCTGCAGTGGCTCACTTAGGAAATGAGCCGGAAGCAGAGGCCAGCTTCTCTCTCTGGAATCCAAGTGCCCCAGGGAACATGGGATCCTGGGAGCAACTCCCTCAGGGCCTTGCAGGCTGTGGAACTGCAAAGAACTTAGCGTCCAGGGAGTGGCCCTGTGTGCTCAACCTTCTACTGTGCAGGAGGAAGTTCACATTAGAAACTTGGCCAGGCCCTGCCCACAGGGGGCAATTTGTCAGGGAAAAGGGGAAAAAATAGATACCCTGACCCTGAACCTTGGTCTTTCCAACCCCAGACAATGGTCAAAATAAATGGGGAGGCCACAGGATGGAAGAGGAAGGCCACAGACTACAGACCGGAGGGAGGAAAGCAGGGAGTAGAACCTGAGGGCAAGGGGTGAAGCCAAGTCACCGTAAATCAGAGCCCCAGAGAAGATGCCCTGAGGTTCAGGCAGGCACTAGGCTCGGGGCCAGAGGCGAACACTCTCAGCTTCAGGGATCCCAGGCCAAAGGCACTGGAGGAGCTCTCTATTTTAAAGAGGCCTAAGGATGGATTCTTTTCAGTGGAAAGCACACTCCCTGGATGGGGATGAAGTGAAGACGTTGACTTGAGTCATAGCAAATGTTAGAAACAGCTCCGAAAAAGTTTATTTCTTGCTTGCATTATAGTCTCCTGGGGCTGGTGGAGGAGGAGCAAGGGCTCTGCTCCATGTGGTCACTCAGGGCCCAGGCCTTCACCCGGCTTGACCTGTCATCACCTAAGGCCTTATCCTCTGCCGTAACCATGTGGGAGAAGAAAGAGAGGGAGGCGTGGAGATAAGCATGGAAGGATGCTTGTGGACAAAAGTAAACCAGGGGCAGAGGAGCCACATCGTTTTAGCTCCATTGCAGGCAGAGCTGGGTCATGTGGCCCTCCCCTAACTGCAAGGAGGCTGGGAAATGCAGTCCAGCTGCATGCCCAGGAGGAAGCCAATGAACCAGGGTTTGGTGAAAACATAGCAACCCCTCCAAATGCTGTCCTCTTCAGGTGGATGAGTGTGACATGAGCGACACTAACAAAAGTGCCAGTGTACAGCCTCTGACCTGCGTGCCAAAGCTGTGATCTGGAAACCCAGAGGCTGGTCATCTTAGGGTCAGGACAGGCCTCTGAAGGCTGCTCCTACACCTCCTCTGGAAACTGTACCTTAAAGCATGCCAGCCTGGGCAACATGGTGAGACCTCATCTCTACTAAAGCAAACACAACAACAAATTAGCCAAGTATGGTGGCTGGCACCTATAGTCCCAGCTACTCAGGAGGCTGAGATGGGAGAATCGCTTGAGCCCGGGGTCAAGGCTGCAGGGAGCTGTGATCCACGCCACTGCACTCCAGCCTGGGTGACAGAGCAGGAAGGTCACCTCAAAAAATAATAAAGTAGAAAAGAAAGTGACTGCAGAGAAGGGAACAAGGGGAGTAGAGGAAGGTTTTTTGGTCTAAGGAAAGCAGCTAAAGCCTTTATCAGATTCCCAAAATTTGACTTCAAGGGCTTAAGAGAAGTGGACCACTGCCTATTAAGCAACATTAGTAGCAGGACATTGGTCGCCAGGAGCCCAACTACACAGCTGAGATTCCCCCATTGTCATCCCTACTCACAACCAGGCACGCCCCACCAGACCTCCAAAGGTCCAGGGCAGGGAAGACCCCCACACCGATCCTCGGCAGCAAACACCGAGTCAAGTCAGCCCACGATGACCAAAGCAGCTACAAAGGGCGCGGGGCATCAGCGTGGGAGGTGGGTTCAGCCATGCAGATGGAGAAACTGAGGCCCAGAGAGGGGCCATCTTACCCAGCGTCATGCAGTGAGTCAGGGCAGGTCGGGGGTGGCATTCAGTGACTAACCAGTCAGGTTTCTGTGGTGATAAGCAAGAGAAACTGACTTTGTTTGACTTGA